TCTCTAAGGTGTCTCATACGTAATTCTTCTGTTTATAGCTTCATTGGCACCTTCTCTAAGGTGTTTCATACGTAATTCTTCTGTTTATAGCTTCATTGGCACCTTCTCTAAGGTGTCTCATACGTAATTCTTCTGTTTATAGCTTCATTGGCACCTTCTCTAAGGTGTCTCATACGTAATTCTTCTGTTTATAGCTTCATTGGCACCTTCTCAAAGGTGTCTCATACGTATGCTTCTGTTTGCCAGGCTGTTTGATGTTTATGATGTATTTCTGTAATTTTTTTTGTGGTTTTGATGGATTTTTTATTTATATTATGCATTTTTTAATAGTTGTGTTGCATTTTTTTTAATAGTTGTGAAGTATATATTAATAGTTAAAATGACTTTTTTTATAGTTATGATGGATTACCGTATTCTTGAAATTTATTCTGCTTTAAAACGGACATCGCATCTCAAGAATTAGAACAATTTATAAGCAACTAAAATTAGTTCTGAATCAACAAATATTTTTCTCTTTTCGGACCAGTAACGTTATTTGCATTATTATTAGCCTAAAAATTCGTGTTTTCTCAGTGCCATCAAAATTCAATCTAATCGTCACGTTTAAACTCATGAAATTAATTGTATTTGGGTAATTCAAAAAGTGTAAGCAATGTGTTGAATGCGATTACTTGTATTTAGCAAATTCACCAAGTGTAAGCAACGTGTTGAAAAATTCCATCTAAATTGATTCGTTCGTTATCTTCATTTTTGCACTCTGATATACTGATCCTTAAAGGGGAGTCTCACAGAGCGGTGGTGGTGGAGGAGCCCATTGGTGTGGAGACAATATTGCCTTCTTGTTTCTTATTAATGCTCCATGGTTTACTGCTGTTTAGGGAGACAGTGAAGGGAGCCCATTGGTGTGGAGACAATATTGCCTTCTTGTTTCTCATTAATGCTCCATGGTTTGCTGCTCTTAGGGAGACAGTGAAGGGAGCCCATTGGTGTGGTGACAAGAATGTCTTCTTGTTTCTCATTAATACTCCATGGTTTGCTGCTCTTTAGGGAGACAGTGAAGGGAGCGGGGTGGTGGAGGAGCCCATTGGAGTGGAGAACACCGTGTGGTCAGGCACGGTGGTGGCGTCAGGACGGCTGCTGGGCGTGGTCGTGTACACAGGGCGTGACACGCGCTCCGTCATGAACAGCGCCGCCCCGCGGTCCAAAGTTGGCCTCCTCGACCTGCAGATCAACGACCTCACCAAGGTGCTGCTCCTGCGCCAGCCTCTAGCACCACTTATTATGTGACTTATATGTCATGTTGTGCTGTTGCTGCGACCTTAAGCGCCACTTGTGTGTCATTCTGCTTGCAAGAATGCCTTCTAAATTCTTATATGCCACACACTTACAAGTAAATCTTATATGCCACTTATATGCCATTCACCACTCTGTGTAGCGGTCCAAAGTTGGCCTCAACGACTTTACCAAGGTGCTTCTGCTGCGCCAGCCTCTAGCACCACTTATTATGTGACTTATATGTCATGTTGCATGCAAGAATGACTTCTAAATTATGCGCTGACATTTGTTTTTGTTGATAATTTGTACAAAAGTATTTTTCCTCGACCTGCAAATCAACTACCTCACCAAGGTGCTGCTGCTGCGCCAGCCTCACGCGCCACGTAGAAGTCATTCTGTATGCCAGAATGGCTTCTAAATTATTTTCCTGCGTTTGTTTTGTTGATAATTTGTAGTAAATTGTTTCAAATTTTTGTTGATGATTTTTAGAATAAAATTTTAAATTTTTGTTGATAATTTGTAGAAAACTGTTTAAGTTAACGTAATTACTTCAATATTCTATCAGCTTCCATGTTTTATGGGGTTTATTATTTTAATAATTGATGAAAAATGATCGGAAAGAATTGATCTATCTGTGGGTATGTAAATCAGCCCTTCACGCGGTTGAAAGATGACATTAGCAAATCCCTTATTAATTGCACCGCATTAGCAAATTTAATTCAATCTTTTATCCTATAAAGTTTCTCTTTGAAGAATGTATAATTTTTTTAATTTAAGCTTCTCTATTCATTTTTGCCACTATTTTACTTGACGCATCACCGTTCTTGGTCTCTTTGTGAACCTCAATCAAATAGGTAGATATTTTTCACCAACTGAAGTCATTATTTTCATAATGAACCTAATTAATATTTTTAGAACCTGGAAGTTTGAGAGTAGTATCTTTTTAACCCTTTGTTTGGTGTCTTGCCGTGAGTTTTCTACAAAAGCTTTGACAACATTTATTGTATCTGTAGACCCCAGGTGAATAATATTATTGAATATTATTAGTATTATTATTGCAATATTACTATTATTGCAAGAATATTAATCCATTATCGTTTCTGTTTATTATTGTATCTATATTCCCAAGTTTAGAAATATTATTAAATATTATCAGTATTATTATTGCAATGTTATTATCAGTTCAGGACTATTAATCTATTATTGTTTCTGTTTGTTGCAGTTGTTGTTCCTGGCGGTGTTGGTGCTCACTATCGTCATGATGTGCTTGAAGGGCTTCAGTGGTCCCTGGTATCGATATTTCTTCCGGTTCTTGCTGCTCTTCTCCTACATCATACCCATAAGGTATGACATACATCATACCCATAAGATACGACATGTACATCATACCCATAAGGTATGACACATACATCATATCCATAAGGTATGACACATACATCATATCCATAAGGTATGACTCATGCGTCATACCCATAAGGTATGGACCATGCATCATACCCATAAGGTATGACACATGCATCATACCCATAAGGTATGACACATGCATCATACCCATAAGGTATGACCCATACATCATACCCCTAAGGTATGATCCTTGCATCATACCAATAAGGTATGACTCATGCATCATACCCATAAGGTACGGTATGACTCGTGCATCATACCCATAAGGTATGACCCAAGCATCATACTTATAAGGTATGAGGTTTGACTTAGTCAAAGTCTGCAGAAGAGTAATTACATGTTGTCTATGCTGAATATTTTCGCAAAATCTCTTTGCTGCTTAAAAATGGTTCAAATACATAAATAATTTTTTCTACTGTGTGTTTTTATAAATTCTCTGGACTTGTATTAAGAAAAAAACGTTAAACTATAGTAAAGAATCAACTAAAAGTTCATTGAGATTGTATCAAGTTAAATGAGATTGCAATTGTTATAAAGTGTTGTCTATCATATAATTGAAGGATAGTAAAAGCAAACTATAATAATTTATGCCATCAATGCTGAAGCTTCTTCCTGCAGTAAAATCTTGCAGTATGTAAAATAAAATTTTTGCCCCTTCCCTTATTCCGAGATGGCCTGGCTTTCAAGAAAAGGCTCACTTATTGCTGAGCCAATGGGTAAACTGCATGGCAAAGTATTGCGTTCTTCCCTGTACATCTTCACGTGACCTTAATATACATCGGCATAAGTTATGTTAATGCCACCTCCTCAGCGCTGCTCAAAGTTTATATGCATTGAGAATTATTCTCTCTGTTACAGTCTACGCGTGAACCTTGACTTAGGCAAGGCCCATTACTTGTGGATAATGCAGCGTGTACGATCTCTTAACCTTTTTTGAAAGTAGTTGCTCAAATTTTTATATGCGCTGAAAATTGTACTCTCTGTTACAGTCTACGCGTGAACCTGGACGTGGGCAAGGCCTATTACTCGTGGATGATGCAGCGTGACACTGAGATGGCAGGCACGGTGGTGCGGTCGACGACCATCCCTGAGGAGCTGGGCCGCATCAACTACCTGCTCACTGACAAGACGGGCACTCTCACCCAGAACGACATGGTCTTCAGGGTGCTGCATCTGGGCACCCAAGCCTTTGGCGTTGATGCTTTTGATGACGTGGGTTCTTGTTGTGTTGGTGGTGATTATCCAGTCAATAAAAAACAGCGATGACTACCTAATCATTTATGAAAGTTTCAATCATAGTCCAATTCCAGTGATTTATTTGTCTCTATTGAGGCTCGTTTCTTGTCAATTGTACTGGGATGGTGTGAGTTATGTTAAGATTCCTGTTTATTTTGTTTCCATATCTGCGCATTATGTTGCCCTGCATGCTACGTGTCACCTATCATGCTCAGGTGACCATGCCTCATGTCCCCCATCATGCACAGGTGACCATGCACCTGCGAGGCTACTGTGCACAGCGGCAGCGCAGCGCTGAGCAGAAGACGGCAGCAGAGGGCGGGACGGGCGCGAGTCCTACGCGCGTGCGCCGCTCGCTGTCGGTGAAGGTGGGCGAGGCGGTGCACGCACTCGCGCTCTGCCACAACGTCACGCCCGTCCACGAGAAGGATGACGAGGGCGCCGTGCTGTCCGTCTCCTACCAGGCCGCCAGCCCCGACGAGGTCAGTCCGTCTCCCAGTTAAGGACCTCGCCGTCCGACGAGGTCAGTCCGTCGTCTACCAGGCCGCCGCCCCGACGAGGTCAGTTTTGATCCGACGAGGTCAGTCTCGTCACTCCCAGTTGGGGACCTCCGTCCGACGAGGTCAGTCTCGTCACTCCCAGTTGGGGACCTCCGTCCGACGAGGTCGGTCTCGTCACTCCCAGTTGGGGACCTCCGTCCGACGAGATCAGTCCGTCTCTTACCAGGCCGCCAGCCCCGACGAGGTCAGTTCTGATGCTAATGAAGTATTGAGGCATACTTCATTAGCAGAGTTCTGATGCTACATTAGTGATGTATCTGATGATACATTAGTTCTTTCTGAGTTCTGATGCTAATGAAGTATTGAGTCTACTTGAAACTCAAGAAAGTTTCAAGTAGACTGTAATGGCCATACTGTTAAGGACAGCGCAGCGAGGTAAGGCGAATACGCAAATATCGGCTAAGCAGGTAAATATAACTGCTTCAAGCTACACGTTCTAATTGCTCGCGAGTAATGTATGACATAATTTAATCAGCTAATTTGACGCGATTATCAAGCGTCAGTCCCTTGGCTTCATAGTAGAGAAATTTGATGTCATGTTTACATGTATAGTATTGTTATTTTGTTCTAAGATGATTGCCTTGTACTGATTAAACGAGAGAAAATTTAAATTAGTATAGCACCGCATCAAATATACGGACAGCAATAAGTACTACTGCTCAAGCAGCCAAATTATCAATTATCTGCTCCTTGACTACCTCGAGAGACTACCTGACAACCACACGACGTGATACATGCCAGCCCAGTACTATGCTGACGACCACAAGACGTCTCATCTTATTCGTGCTCATCAACATCTTGCCCTACACACGAATATTAAACATTTGTTGTCTGACAAACTAATGAACATACAGAACTTACAATTGTAAACTGTACCTCATAAACTAGACCTGTACCTTTTACCAAAAGTATACATAACAAATTATGCTGGAAGCAATCAATTTATATCACTCTAGTGTTTTGTCGTTTGTTGATGTTAACTCATTCTTTTCATCCCGTAGATATTCTCAGCTGAAATATTTGTCTCAGTTATCCAAACTACTAGTAAGGTATATTAATTGCTCCCAAAAAATCTTCTTGTTGAGTGCAGAAAATTCAGCATAATTTTTTGCTGTGCAGGTGGCGCTGGTGCAGTGGACGGAGGTTGTGGGGCTGCCGCTGGTGCATCGCGACCTGAACACCATGTCCCTGCGCTGCCCCGTCACCAAGCAGCTGCTGCGGTACACCGTACTACAGGTCTTCCCCTTCACCTCTGACACCAAGAGGATGGGCATCATAGTACAGGTACATGACCTTCCATACAAGGGCATTGTTCGCGCAGACGGAATACGTTTTATTCACTATCCTAATTGCAGCAGCATTATTTTTTGCGAGATTTCTGATCTCGCAGTGCAAGAAAGATTCTGACGGTATGATTTTCTCATGATAATGACCACTTGACAAGTGAAGTCAAGCTGAGGATGATAGACGTTCACTTCATTTTTTTTTTCCTTATCTAGACCATGGCGAGGTCACCCTATAGATGAAAGATTCCATCATTATTGTTGCAGGAAGAAGACACTGGTGAGATAATACTGTACATGAAGGGCGCGGACGTTGTCATGGCGAGCAAAGTTGAGTACAACGACTGGCTGGAGGAAGAGTGCAGCAACTTGGCACAGAAGGGACTGCGCACTCTGGTCGTCGCTCGCAAAGTCCTCAGCCGCGAACAATATACTTCATTCGAGGCAAGTTGTCAGGGACCGTTTTAGCGGCAGCTTGAGTTTGAACCCAGTTCTGAATCAGTGACAGTTCTTCTTTATTAGAGCCGCAAATATGTTTACATGTAAACTTTCATTATTCTTTATCTTCTATGCCTTAAGTTCATTTAGTTTTTGTTGCAAATTTCATGTATCGTCACTGAAGCATTCTTTTATGATTCCTCGCCTTTTCTACGATAGACGTACACGAGTGAACGAATTTATATTATTTATATTAAAAAGTGCGACGGTCTTGCCCTCAGGACAGCTACAGAGCAGCACGCACGTGTCAACAGGACCGCAGCAGCCGCGTCGCCAGCGTCTTGGAGACCTTGGAGTCCAACCTAGAACTGCTGTGCCTTACGGGCGTCGAAGATAAACTCCAGCACAACGTCAAGCACACGCTTGAAGTTCTCAGAAATGCCGGCATCAAGGTAAGGTGCTCATTTTTACTATCCAGTGCAACCTTTTTGCGGCCAGGTACTTGGTGATAGAGGTATTGTTTTATTGCTCTTTTTACAACACTTCTCTTTAACTTCACTTCTTGTTTGTTTGTTTGTCTGCCACAAATCTTATAATTGATATTTGTCACACTTCTACCTGTCCAATCGATCTGAAATTAGGCACACTTGCATAAAGTCAGAGACAATGTTTTAAAAAATCGACAGTATAAATAATTGTAGAAATGAAAAAAAAATTATATATTAAAAATAATTCAAAAAAAAAAATTTTAATATTCAAAGATAAAATAAGAAATTCATTGTACATTTGTAACATCAGAGATATGGCCATTTTAGAAGTGTTGTCTTTAAAAAGCAATTTTCAAATGCATGTTATTAAAAATACCATTATTACAGGTTCCTGTAAACCCGGTCTTAAAAATTTTAGAATTGTTGTCTTTAAAAAGCAATTTTCAAATGCATGTTATTAAAAATACCATTATTACAGGTTCCTGTAACCCGATCTTACAAATTCTTGATGCACAGATGTGGATGCTGACGGGAGATAAGGAGGAGACGGCGACGTGCATAGCGCAGAGCAGCAGGCTGGTGCCACCAGGGCAGGCGCTGCACAGCATGGGCGCTGTCACCAGCAGACAAGACGCCCATCAGCAGCTCCACCTGCTCAGGAGGAAGACGCACGCCGCCCTCATCATCAACGTGAGGCCAGGGCGTCTACTAGTGCATTATTTGAACTAGTTTTAGGGGCTCGTTGCATAAACTAGTGTGGAGGCCAGCTACCTGAACTAGTGTGGAGCCCGCTACCTAAACTAGTGTGGAGGCCTGCTACCTACATAAACTAGTGTGGCGGGCCCGCTACATATATTGGTATGGGTGGTGGCATTGCCTTAACTAGTGGGTAGGCCCACTTCATAGACTAAAAGCTATCTAAGTAGACAAGACACTAGGTCTATTATTTTCTTATTACTAGCGCACTTAAACTCATGATGCTCAATGTAGACTTGGAGAGTTGTCGAAATATCCATAGATGTTTTGTTATTGTGTTGGCCTTTCTGATCCACTTTGGCCAGGCCTATACGTCCGCTCTGTGGTCGTGTTCTGGGTAATAAAGTGTGTTATTTGCACAAGTTGACAACGTAACATTCATTTGTCTGAGAGTAAATTTGGCTTCACATAAGTGCGAAGACTTGATCAAGGTACATGATGCGGTATTTCCTTTACTCCTCCTTTGAAGAGGCTGCTTTTTTTAATGTAATTAATCAAATTGGATGACGTTCGTTGAACTTTAAATATTTTTAAAAACGTTCGTTGAACAATACATTTGATGTTGTCTCGTATCTTTCTCGTTTTATATGTTGAGTTGTGATGGATTTGTGTCCCGCAGGGCAGCAGCCTGGAGGTCTGCCTGCAGTACTACGAGCACGAGTTTGTTGAGCTCGCCGTGCAGTGCCCCGCCGTGGTGGTGTGTCGCTGCTCTCCTACACAGGTCAGGTCCTCTGGTGCCTCTCTTAGGTGGCCTCAGGTCCTCTGTGGCCTCTCTCTCACCTGCCTCACTGGTGCCTCCCTCAGACGTGCCTCCCTCAGACGTGCCTCCCTCATCATCGAGGGCAAGGTGAGTGATGAGGGCAACGACGTAGCCATGATACAGGCCGCCGACATCGAGGGCAAGGTGAGTGATGAGGGCAACGACTTAGCTATGATACGGGCCATTGGCTTCGAGGGAAAGGTTAACACAGACTCTTGGTGAGAGAATAATTCATTTATGATTAATCACTGGGACCTTGAATACGATCAATTGGAAGAAGATACTTGGAAGGGAAGGAAAATAAGAATGGAACATTAAAAAAATGCAGCAACAGGATGCAGCCACACTATACCTTACGGAAAGCTGATAAGAGTAATTATTTCGTTAACAGTATAGAACTCTCGGACTTAATACCTCGGGCTTATTTTGATGAAAGTAATTCTTTCCTTAGTTTAATAGAATTACCGGACTTAGTACCGCGGGCTCATTCTTATTCACATTGATAGATGAATTGTCATAAATTTATGTCTAACTACTCATGATCGAGTTCAGCAAGTGGTCAATTTAAATAAGTAAGCTTCATTTCATTCACTTACCATGGTGGTGACAATTGAAAACTCACCATCATAGCCGAACCTCCGGAACATCATAAAGGCTTCCTCTATTGCGGTAGAGCGAACTTGGCCAGGCGGTTTTGGGTCACGTGGTCCATAAAATTCTCTAGCTGTATGGATTATTGCAGGCTCCATCTGTTGATGAATTTAGTATTTACCGCCGTACGTTAGCACCATAATTCATTTAATTAAATAAATGTAGCCTGACGAATTTACTGCATTTGACTTTTATTAATAAATTTGTATTGTGCAGGAAGGCAGACAGGCGTCACTGGCTGCGGACTTCAGCGTGCTGCAGTTCGAGCACATCGCTCGTCTGTGTCTCGTACACGGCCGCTACTCGTACAAGCGCTCAGCGGCGCTCGGCCAGTTCGTCATGCACCGCGGCATGATCATCTCCACCATACAGGCCATCTTCTCTGCTATCTTCTACTTCTCCAGTGTTGCTCTCTACCAGGGCTTCCTCATGGTCGGGTAATTATACTGTGCAGAGTCTCTCTCTTCCTCATGGCCGGGTAATTATACTGGGCAGTGTTGCTCTCTACCAGGGCATCCTCATGGTCGGGTAATAATACTGTCCAGTGCGTCTTGAAATTTAGATTTAACTACCTTTAATGCGTTGTAAAATTGAATTACTTACTAGCATAATTAAAGATAGTATAATTAAATTCCTGTTTTGCTGACAGGTACTCGACCATCTACACAAACTTCCCTGTTTTCTCGCTGGTGTTGGACCGAGACGTGTCGCCCAAGATGGCTATGTCATACCCCGAACTTTATAAAGACCTAACTAAAGGGCGCTCTCTCTCCTACAAGACGTTCTTCGTCTGGGTCCTTATCAGCGTTTATCAAGGTGACTTAACTAGTTGAAATAAAGACCTAACAAAAGGGCGCTCTCTCTCCTACAAGACGTTCTTCGTCTGGGTTCTTATCAGCGTTTATCAAGGTGACTTAACTAGTTGAAATAAAGACCTAACAAAAGGGCGTTCTCTCTCCTACAAGACGTTCTTCGTATGGGTCCTTATCAGCGTTTATCAAGGTGACTTAACTACTTGAAAGCATGGAGCATTAAACATGTGACTGTATAATAGTTCTGACGACTGCGGCAGCTCTTTTATGTATCGTTCTGTTTGAAATTTATTAATCAAATTAATTTGTGTGTATCTATCCTTTCTATTTAACCCTTATGGAATAATTTCTCTTACAAAAAAGGCAACCTTCTCACCTTTGCTGTCGCACATTTGTTAATTTACACCAAAAATTGGTTTGCCTGTCTTTTTGAAAATTCACTCCGGCTCCTTGAAATGAAATGAATAGTATTGATGAACTAATTTACTGACAAACAAAAGTAGGATTCGTTTTCTTTCTTCACTCGCGCTGTTATTTTAATCAATTCTACAATCCTCCAAATATATAACAATTATCAAAGTCAAGAATAGCCCAAAAATTGGAGTGCACTTTCTGTATCATCACAAAACTATATTAAACTTTCTAATACCTAATATTTCTGATATTTTTAATTATTCACCGAATTAAATTATTGACCAATGTGGTAGTGTGTGTCACTGAAGCTAAATTTGTGTACGGTTCTCAGCATATTAGGATGAATGACCAAGTTTCACGTGTTTTACAGGTCATCTTAACATGTTAGGACAAAAGATTGTTCAATGGTAACCGTTTTGTAATGGAAATTTCTGTCTATAAACATCTTTGTATTGCTGTCTATATCTTTGTATTTCATTTCTGTCTATAAACATCTTTGTATTTCTGTCTGTATTTTTGTATTTCATTTCTGCCTATAAACATCTTTTTATTTCTGTCTATATCTTCGTAATTCATTTCTGTCTATAAACATCCTTGTATTTCTGTCTATATCTTTGTAATTAATTTCTGTCTATAAAAATCTTTGTATTTCTGTCTAAATCTTTGTAATTCATTTCTGTCCATAAAAATCTTTGTATTTCTGTCTAAAATCTTTGTAAATTTCTGTGGATAAACATTTATGTATTTCTGTCTATATATCTTTGTATTTCTGGCTATATCTTTGTATTTCATCTCTGTCTATAAACATCTTTGTATTTCTGTCTAAATCTTTGTATTTAATTTCTGTCTATATCTTTGTAATTCATTTCTGTCTATATCTTTGTATTTCATTTCTGTCTATAAACATGTATAAACTGGCAGGCGGGGTGCTGATGTACGGCGCCATGTTGCTGTTTGAAGACGAGCTCCTGCACATTGTCAGCATCTCGTTCACTGCGCTGATCCTGACGGAGCTGCTGATGGTGGGGCTGACAGTGCGCACGTGGCACCCGCTCATGGTCCCCGCCCACCTCCTCTCCCTCCTCGCGTACGGCGCCTCCATCATCTGGATGCATTACTTCGGTGAGCCTGATAACGTTCTGGGCCGTCCTGTACCGTCCTGTGCCTTCCTGTGCCGTCCAATGCCGCACTGCGCCGTCCTATGTCGTTCTGTGCCGTTCTGTGTCATCCTGGGCCGTTCTGTGCCATCCTGTGCTGTTCTGTGCCGTCCTGTGCGACCTTGTGCCGTCCTGTGGCGTCCTGTACCGTCCTGTGCCTTCCTATGTCGTTCTGTGCCGTTCTGTGACGTCCTGTGCCATTATGTGCTGTCCTGTGGCATCCTGTGGCATACAGTGCCGTTCTGTGCCGTTCTGTGTCGTTCTGTGCCGTTCTGTGTCATCCTGGGCCGTTCTGTGCCGTTCTGTGTCATCCTGTGCTGTTCTGTGCCGTCCTGTGCGACCCTGTGCCGTCCTGTGGCATCCTGTGCGGTCCTGTGCCATCCTGTGCCGTCCTGTGATATTCTGTGACGTCCTGTGCCATTCTGTGCTGTCCTGTGGCATCCTGTGGCATACAGTGCCGTTCTGTGCCATCCTGTGCCATTTCATGCTGGTTTTTGTCTGTTATTATATTGTTCTTTTGAATGTTTTGGTGTTATGTGGTCAATCGCACTCTATTGCCGGCCACTTGGTAGGTGCTTGGTTCGGTTGTCAACTTGTATTCTGTAGTTTCGGTGCTCATTTGCCGCATTGACGTCACCTGTTGACGAGAACTTAACCATAAATCCATCGCTTCTTTTTATAATGGAGAGCTAATTTGGGTGTCTTGAACAATAAACAGCCGAGTAATGGCTAAATAAACTAAAGATTCCATTATTTCTCCCTCTAATGTCCTCAATTATTCAGTAATATAAAGGTAATGCATCATAATTACGGTGTTACAGACCTGGCGTTCATCACGTCAACGGACTTCTGGTGGAAAGTGATCGTGATCACGCTGGTGTCGTGCCTGCCTCTATACGTGCTCAAGTTCCTGCAACGCAAGATCACGCCCCCCACCTACTCCAAGCTGGAGGAACTCAACACCTTCGGCTCCACCCTCACCGTGGAGAGCCGACTTGCCTCGGCGCCCCGCAGCTACGACGCCACCAGCACAACCACGAGCCGCCCATAGCAGTGCGAGACCACGCGGGCCACGCCTCTCTAACCTCACCTCTCTCTAGCCTTCATTTATCATTAACATGATTGACACTTTTCATGGCATTATCACAACAGCTTCGTTATTTGTGGCGTGCGATGTTCGAAGGACTCGATATTATTTTTTTTAGAGCAAACTTATCATTACACGCCCCTCTAACCACACCTCTTTCTAGTGTTCATTTATCATTAACATCATTGCCACTTTTCATGGCATTACCCCAATAGCTTCGTTATTTGTGGCGTGCGATGTTCGAAGGACTCGATATTATTTTTTTTAGAGCAAACTTATCATTACACGCCCCTCTAACCTCATCTCTCTCTAGCGTTCATTTATCATTAACATCGTTGCAACTTTTCATGTCATAACCACAACAGCTTCGTTATTCGTGGCGTGCGTTATTTGAAGGTATTTTTTTTCACGGCGAACTTATCACTGTCCATTCGAAGATGTTCATTTTATTTAGGTTCTCTTTTGCTTCAAGTCGTTTCTTCATGCCTTATTCTTGCCGATTTTGAGCTTTGGCATAATTAATCACAATAAAATCATGTTTGCAAATCTACCTTGGTTACATAGATTTTTCTGTAAGCTATTCTCTCGGTGAAACTTGTTGATATTTAAACCATGGTTCATTATTAAAGACTATGGCTATGTCAACTTTTATCTCACCGAGCCAACTACTTTGTAGTTAATGTTTGTTAACCCGCATAATCTTCATTATGTGAAGCACATTCTCGTCTCTTTATTCATTATCTTCTCTCGTTCTTCAAGCGAAGTTGATCTGCGTGGCCCGCAATATTCTTGTCTAGAACCGCTGTCTGAATCTCAGTATTTCGCTGCCTAGAATTTAGAACTAAACTGCCTGCCCGCGCTAATTTGTACATAACATATCATGATGTGCTAGGCTCGTGTATCGAATATGGTAATGATGAACATAATTTTAAAAAAGCGCGAGTCTTAATGAGAGCAGCGTCTTAATGAGAGCAAGCGTCTTAATGAGAGCAAGCGTCTTAATGAGAGCAAGCGTCTTAATGAGAGCAAGCGTCTTAATGAGAGCGCGAGTCTTGAGAGCACGAGTTTTAATGAGAGCACGAGTTTTAATGAGAGCACGAGTCTTAATGAGAGGTAACGAAAATCCTGCAGGCTCTAGTGAGTATTAATTAGTCATCCTTACAATAACCTGCTCATATCTTTATTGTTTTGTGTACTTTTTTGCTGGAGAGAATTCGTCTCTCATGCTGTGCCTCATCTTTTTTTTATTGACTACGTAATTCAAGTTATGTTCATATTTAACCATCTGATTTCTTTTCGGTTACTCTGACCAATAATAAAAAAGTCGGTCATAAAAAATAAATTTTATTTACTTGAGCTTGTAAAGCTCGTAAATTTCTTCACGTTGGAGAATTTTCAATAGAGATATAAATCAGTTCATGAAAATGACAGTATCACGGATAAATCAATCCAAGAAACTGGTCCTTTCATGTATTAGTGTTCGTTGAACTGACTTTTCTGCGTCATGAAATTTAAACCAGTATTGTAATGTTAGTAACGCAACTTGCCTCATTCGTATCGTTGAAGATTCATCCTTCTTGTGCAATTGCCATGTTTTGGTCGGATGATAAAACGAGTATTTACTTTGTAGCAGCGGTTGGAGGCCCTGTAGCATGTTTACTGCTGTTGCAGTCCATTAACTGTGCTGTATCTATGGTAGTTACTTTACTGTTGATGCGTAACAGCCTATAAAGAAAAACGATGACCATAATATATCAATACATCGATACTAAAGGAAATTGTCAACTGTGCACATTAATTTGCGATGGTTAAAGTCTGCTGCTGAGTTTCAGACAATAATTCTTCGCAAAAATGGTTTACCTGTATCGGTGACTAAAATTGTATTTGGTACGTGTGCCGTGAAGTGAAGCGATCGTCAGATATTTCTTTATGTACGTTTAAAAATCGTAGCGTGTTGTGAATTTTCGATGCTAGGAAAACTTAGAAGCTTATTAGGAGATTCTTCTCTGTCTGTCGCTCGTAAGTGATGATCTTTACATTCCTGTTGCTGTCGATCTTTCAGTGTGTTGGTGCCTTCGACATTCCTAGATCTCTTGGCCCTTTGTTTCAACGCGACCTTTCAAGTTATGCTGCTTATTTAGCAACAAATTTTGTTTAAAAAATGTTAGAAAATTTAAAGGTTTGTGCTAGTGATAACAAGCTCATTTATTTTTAGTTTTTACAGCTCCAAATTACGTTACTTATTTAACAACGAATTTTGCCCTAAAAATGTTAGAAAAATTGAAAGGTTTGTGCTAGTGATTACAAGCTCATCTATTTTTATTTGGTTAAAGTTTTATTGCATACAAAGCTGCAGTGTTTACAAGACTTTTCTGTTAATGAGATCATACCTCGCAGTCTGGCATTCAGGTCATCTTTTATCAGCGGATAAATTAACTCTCGTCAAATCTATTCATATTACAAAGCCTAGGTAACGATAATTACCGTTAGTTTACAAGGGTTTTAGCACCGCAGCTTCCTGCGGGTTGCCTGATGCTTGCATGAAACATGTGCCTGCTGGCACACCTCGGTGCCGCAGTCCTTTCTTCAGACGGCTAAATTAGATTAACTTCATCAAATAACAGATCGTTTTTACTCTGATTACAATCAGCGTTGAATTTCTTCGAATTCCAAGTACTGTACCATTTATCATTGCTTCAGCCTAAGCGTTCACATTCACCTACCTACACGCAAACCGCTTTGTTAAATTATCTTCATCGTTTTTTTTTTTTTTGTATGAGCAAATCATTCATTATGCATTTTAGTAGTAATTAGCGCTGGTAGGTCGAGTTTTAACTTGTAATTTTCTTGTAGAATTCTAACTAGTAATATTCCTTTTTTCAATTCAGGGTTGACGATGACAAAGGCTTGCGGTGATGCTGGAAAAAGCTCTTTCCATTTTTTTATCGCAATTTTTAGAAGCGTCTTTTTACTTGTCCATCTTTTGAGCTCTCTCCTCTAAATTGATCAATTATAATAATTTACCAAATGATATACAAATTTGAGATGCTTCCGAGTTAGAATATTGTATTAAAGTTTAGGAAGGGGTAAGGACGATAGTTGTGCAGGTTAGCGTAAATAAAAAAACATTACACGCATATTCCGGTGACTGAAGCCCTGCATGTAACACGCATATTGCAGTGACTCTAACTCGGTTTAGTTACTTACATACTTCTTACCAAGTACTTACATACTTTAGTTACCAAGTACTTACATACTTCTCTGTCTAACTCGGCTTACTCAAGCTTGCTTTTGATACAGATTGTCCCGTAGGGCGTTACCATGGATAAAGCGAGGTCTCATGTTCAGGCTTGAGCTTCACCCACGGTGTACCCACACTTAACACAAATCTCTTGCCGTGCACCGCCGCCTTCAGACCGTCGATCAGATGGACGACCATTGGCCTAATTTTATTATTCCAATCCACATTTTTGCTGATTTTCAGACAATAATTCACCGCAAAATGATGTGAATCTGTATTCCTTTAAAACTGTTAGTGTTACGACTAGGGCAACTGCGCGAATACTTCGTATATATAGCATATTTCTTTCTAGTCACCCGTTCCGTGAATGAGATCACTTGATACGGTCATAATTTATCCTATAACCTATCGAAAAGCTTATTCTTATGCATCATGTTGCTTGTTTTCAATAAATGTTTTTCTACATGAGTTAAGGAAATGTACACAATAATGAAGCTCTGCTAGTAGTTTCACGTAATCTGCTATATTTGCTTGCTTGCCCACGAAGCGGACTCTGAATTTTCGTTTTTTGCCTCCGCATTGTAAATTAAATATTATATCTTCTAATTTATTTAGTTAACTACAGGATGGTTCCATGATATGCCACCGAAGAATGCTGCAAGTTAGAGCTTTACATTAAACCGTGTAATCGCTTTGAGTATGCCTTTGTTTTATGAAACCGTATTTATTGCTTCATCATGTTTTAACTTAGCTAACTTGTGCACTATATCTACTGTGTGTTTATTTTTTATTTACGAAATAGTAGGTCAGATTACTTTGATGTATACATCACTTATTGATTATACGCTCTTGTGGAAGCGTGCAAAGAACTAATATGTGTAATGAAGTCTAGCCAGGATCTCGTGATTTTTTCAAATATACTTTTGCCTGTGAGCATTTTTTGTTTGTCATGTTTGTTTCATCATGCTAATTTATTACAGTAACTTTCGTTGTCGATTGTTTGTTGCTGTTCCCGTATCTTTTCTCCAGCAGCGTATAACATCACAATGTTCTTGCGACGAAACTTGAGAAGAAGTTTGATTTTGTTGTTTATTTACCTACCAGCAAGCCAGGCAACGTCTTGGGAGACTAGACTGTCTATATCATCGATACATTAAAGAAACCCTTCTTATTTTCCAGGGCCCATACTTTCAAAAAAAGTTAAGAGATCGTAAGTTCATCAGCCAATCATTGACGGCCTTTCAAGCAAAATCCACCAATCATAGACAAGAAAATATGAGTAACAGTCGAACACGATATTGTGTTCCCACTCGCATTCACCCACATGTTGCTTTCTTCGTGTTCTTTTGATAAGTTGGGCCCCAAAATGACGTTTTCGTGGAACCAAAAGACGTTATCATGCAGGCTGATTGACTGGACGAAGATATCGGCAAAGTTGAGTCTGTTGAAAGCTCCAGGATAGAGTGCTAGTTTGCTGCGTCTGATTACGAGGCTAGAAATTCTTCCATGCACCCAGCCGGCTTGGAAGCCAACATGACCGTCCACTTCTATGACCTCCACAACCGCTCCCGGTGACTGCAAGATGACAGCGGAGGCAGCAACCAACCCCGTGAACCTCACCCCGTTTAGTCTGAGGAGTTTCAGGCTTGTTGACTCTATGGAGAAAGATGGCAGGGCTGTCGACCACACATCGCTGAAGACGACAGCGCTGGCGGCGCCAGAGAGACGGATGGATCCTCTTGTCAGCTTGAGCTGCGTCACGCGAAGCACGGTCATGATAAACACTCCCGAGTGACGCACGTCAAAATCTACGCTGCTTTTATCAATGATAAGCTCGTGTATATCACTAAACGTCATTTGCTGTAAGTGATGAATAATTGTTTCTTCGCCTGAACCCGCAAAACGAACTCGCGACTGACGACAATCCGTGATCGTTAAGGTCGAGCAGCCCTCCGGCAGCCAGGATTGTAGGCCGTGGATCGTGAGCTCCTGGAATATAAGAATTGTAATTTTTTAAGTTGTAGGCCCTGGCAATTGCTCAGTTAATTCTCATCGTTTTTAAATGTATAAGTCTAGGGATTTCATTCGAAAAGTTTGCTTTTGGGAAGCATGCTCACTGTACTTTTTCAGTAATTAAATGTATTATCTGGTAATTAATTCCCTCTGTGTGGTGTATCTATAGCATTCGGGTCAAGTTGACTCATATTTTACAAAGCATAACCCCACGGCAGAACTTTATTACAAATAATGGGTATTGAGTTATCTGGAGCGCGACGGCAGCGAATGAAACACAAAATCCGAAAGCCTAGTTGCACTTTTCTATGTCAATTAATGCACAAAACACGAATTCCTCGTCCGAATGCCCCTGTCAAGTAATACTAGCTCAGTGGTTACAGTTCAGAGTACCAAGATTGGCGCAGAGAGGCGCGGGTTCGATCCCAGCTCTGTGCGCCAGTTTCTGGTCAGAATCGGCAAGGAGGCCGGGCGGTTAAGCACAGCAGAATTGAATCAGTGAGTTGTAAGTTCGAGACCGCAAAACGCTGTGGATGATCTGCGGTGTTAAGAATCGGCGACAGGCCTACGGCCTAAAAAACGCTGTAACCGGTTTATATATAAAACAAACGTATTTGTCATTCAGCTGAAGTGGTCCTAGCAACTCACAGGGTTACCATGGCAGGAGCAGACCACGTCAGCGCCAGCGACGCTGCAGTGTCGTGAGAAAAAAATTGCTTCATCGTCGCTCTTGCTCAGTGGCAGAGCGCAGAGCAGCAACCACCAATGCTTCCAAATCATTCAATGCACTGGAATTTGTAGGGAAGTTAGTCGTGTAGTAATGTTGCTTACTTGTATACCACGTGTGGTTATCGTTAGTGGACATTGATGTTTTTGTAGACACATTATATCGGAAGGAGAATTTATTCATAAGAATATAAAACAGCTAAGAACTTATGTACGTGAGCTTGGAAAAATATTATCAATTTTCAGGTTCAAAGGTACCATAGGAACTTCAAGTATCAGAAGCGACAACTATTTCATATGTTTCAGGCCCGTATGAATTAATTATAAACCTAACTCACCATTAAGTCCCTGATATTACAACATTTTTTACAACACTTGAAAATATAAATAAAATAAAAGTTACGTATTATATGAGAAATACAATCGAACATTTTACACACGTGGTTAACTGTGCAGCATTTTTAATTGATGATATCATTACGAGTTTACCACACAGTTCAACAAAGAATATGCGTATCAACGATAGGTATTAAATAATACGCACCAGTTACGAATCTGGGACCATACTTTCAAAACTCGCTAAATGAACGTAAGTACTTACGCTCTTTATTCTTGTCTATGGTTGGTGGATTTTGCTCGAAAGGCCGTCAATGATTGGCTGATGAACTTACGATCTCTTAACTTTTTTTGAAAGTATAGGCCCTGCTTCTCTCGTGGAGTCCCGCTTACGACTGTTAGCTTAGGTGTCTCTTCATCAACGTTGTGTTGGTAAACTATTTCCAACTACTTCCATGTTGTGCAACGTGTTCTGGTCAAGCGCACTCGTGTCATGCAAATAAACGCTCGGTACGACGAGATAAAGTTACTTAGAAAATAAAAATAATAACGGTTTCCTCATATAATTATTGACGTACACCTGACAATTAATAAGTATATAATAGATTTATGGTCCGAAAGTCGTCAGGTGGAATGGACTTCAAACTTTCTGTTCGCCACTAGGCGAGATGTAGCCAGAATTAAGTTGAACGATGACGGTGAGAAGCTAATTATTTAACAATTTAACCGCATCTAAGGTAAGGACATCTGTAGAATCATTGAAATTGCATCATTGAAATTCATTATCTTTAATCAACTTAATGCTGCACATTCAGTCCATGGTTGAACTATGGTTTAGTATGATCAAGCAAGGTAAACCCTTTCTTTCCCAACGCTTTCGTCAAGGAACTTCAATTGCATCGTACGAAGTCGTGCTTTACTTCAAATTTTTAGCCTAGTAGACTGTGCTTGATGTAAAAATTTCCAAATTTTGGAATTTGGTTTTCTAGTGGTCTCTTGAATGAATTTACAAGACGGCTTAACCCGATGAGCCCTCACAACTCCTCCTCCAATCATTCTGTAATTAATCAGTTGCTAACGAGATTGTAATTAATCAGTTGCTAACGAGATTGTAATTAATCAGTTGCTAACGAGATTGTAATTAATCAGTTGCTAACGAGATTGTAATTAATCAGTTGCTAACGAGATTGTTATAAATCGGTCGCTAACGAGATTGTAATTAATTAGTTGATTCTAATGGCCACACAGTACACGAGAAATCACAGATTCTCTCGGAACAATCAGTGCAGCCGGCCGGCTTCATCCCATGCATCTTGCACGTCGCAGCCGCGCGGTGTCGCAACGTCTATAGTTTCTGTCGTACCTTAAATAGTGATAGATAAATAATTATTAAGCGTTTAAGATTGAACTAATTCGAAATATATAATGTTTTTACGGTGTCTAAACAAAGTCTAAAGATTGCCACATAAATCATTGAGATTTTCATTCAATTTGCCACCCGACTTACCAAGACAACTTGGGTGAATTGGGAGCAGATAAAATTTATCTCGCAATTTCATTTACGGCAACGGCTTTATTAGACATGGATGACTCATCAGAGGTTGTGACGTAATAATTAATGGTAAACTGCCTTGCACATGAATAAATGATAGGACATGGGAGAAATAAGAGCGATTTTCCACAAAAATTAGATCAGTACTCTCTGCAGTGAGTGACAGAGAGGCCATTTTCGCGTCCGTGAAGTCACGGACGGACGGACATGACGAGTACAATAGCGCCTTTTTTCAATAAACGAGAAAATGCGCTAAAAATATTCAATATGTAGGTTGGAAGTAGGCAAACACTGATCGAATAATACATATGTATTAAGAATAAACATGATACACTTACTCGTATATACTTCGATAAGAATAAATCAATTGACATGAAAATTAAAATTAGCACAGCAGAGGTAAGTCCGTTGGTTACATTATAAACTTCAGTAATTTATATTTCACGCAAGCCAAGGAACAATAAAAGGGAAATCAAGCGGTCACGGCAACAATGCTGCATTCTGATGCTGTCTAGTGTAATGCTGGTAGAACATTTTCAAATTGCTGAGCAAGCTACACTATGCAAGTCACTTCTTTCGGATCGTCAAATTTCTAAAATGTGGCTAATTTAAATACATTACTATCTGTTTCACTTACCATCCATACATTAATATTTTAGTCATTAAGCTAATTTTGGTTAAGCCCCAAAAGAGAATTGTAACAAAAAAATTGTATCCAGATTGTAAAGATTGTATACAATTGTAACAATTGTATGCCACAAAAGAGGATAATAAGAAAACGACAGTAGAGAAGCTTGGTTTTAAAGTCAGGGGTAATATGCAAAAAATATTACTCATGTAATAATAGGATGAACCAAGTAGTATTACTATAAATGAGGTAGGAACATAACTGTGTTTCTCGGCAAGTAAGTAAGCAAGAGTTTAGTCTGTAGTTTAGTATGTAACCAACGGTAATTACAGTGCATACCTAAATTATCGAAGCTCATGCTTCCCATCAGCAATTAATTAATTATAAGATGTTTTCTTTTAATCCAAGTTTGATATTTATGGCGAAATTTACGCTAACGCTACAGTTTGCTCACTTCCCAGTGCAGCGATCTTTGACGAACGAGCAACAGACTTCATTGTAATTATATAACGTGTAAAAATTAACTGCTAAAATGCATCCAAAATTTCTATAAATGATCATCGTGAAGTCAATACAAATTTCCAAATCACAGCATGAGTATTTTAAATGAATTGATGTATGAATCCGACTGAGGTACAAAGAAGCATGGATTTCGGCACTTATTTTTATACATAAACATTTACACAAAGCAAACAAGTGCAAGACACTGCGGAGCCCCCACAGTGCGCACTCAAAACAATCATTGAGTTCACGTCTACGAAGTGCAAGCAAAAATGGTGAGTATTTTCGATAGTGAGCCAAAAAATGCACGCGGTTGTAAACTGTAAATCGATTCTGAGTTGAAAGTAAATAAATTTTTTCAAAAAGAATTTTCGAATCTGAAAAATGTAGCATTAAACAATAAAAAAAAAATATGAGTGAGGTAGGAGACAACAAACTTAAAGCCACTGTGGATCAAATATTACTAATAAATGTACAAATAAATTGAATAAATGCCTCTATCTTAAATGTCAGGGCGTTGAACAAAGGTAAGGTTAGAGAAGAGGTGAAAAAAAAGCAACATGCAAGCAAAACGCAACACACAAAGCAACATTTGGCACATACACATCAACTGGTGGTGGCCAGGGCAGCAAGAAAAACTAACACATCCCTGCAGTGAACACATCTATGCCAGCAACACATCCCTGCAGTGAACACATCTATGCCAGCCAACACATCCCTGCAGTGAACACATCTATGCCAGCAAAAACAGCAATAATAGCAGAACACCGAAACAAAAAAAGCCCTGCGCCCAAAATACGCCGGTGGTGGAGCACAGCTCAACCTTTGATAATAATAATATAGCGGTTCCAGCGTTTATTAGGCCGTAGGCCTGTCGCCGATTCTTAACATCGCAGAACATTCACAGCTTGTTGTGGTCTCGAAGTCGCAACTCACTGCTACAATTCTGCTGTGCTTAACCGCCCGGCCTTGCTGATTCTGACCAGAAACTGGCGCACAGAGCTGGGATCGAACCCGCGTCTCTCTGCGCCAATTCTGGTACTCCGGGCCTATACTTTCAAAAAAAGTTAAGAGATCGTAAGTTCATCAGCCAATCATTGACGGCCTTTCAAGCAAAATCCACCAATCATAGACAATGGCCCATACTTTCAAAAAAAGTTAAGAGATCGTAAGTTCATCAGCCAATCATTGACGGCCTTTCAAGCAAAATCCACCAATCATAGACAAGAAAACAGAGCGTAAGTACTTACGTTCACTTAGCGAGTTATGAAAGTATGGCTCTGAACTTTAACCACTGGGCCACAAGAATGCGTAAAAAGGCCCACTGCTTCATGAACAGAGTAACTATTCATCGGGGAGAAGCAGTAAATAATTTTGTGCTTAAAATTTGCCGTGTATTTATTCGCTAAAATCATCAAAACCTTATCCTACTCCACAGCAAATTAAATTTGAGAGCAAATTTGTTCATGAAACTTAGACCCACTACAATGAAGCACAAAATATTAGAAATATTGTTATAAAATTGTGAGCATACACGAGGCTCAAAGGACGGTGTGAGCACCATCAGAGGAAGCTTACACTACTCAGTCCAGTACCATCAGTCACTGTACACATGTAACTTCACTATTACAATTACCTCAACATAAATATCATGTGCATAGTCCATCCGCTGCAGGGACAGCACAGGCATCACTTGTGCAACACGTAACTTATGTAAGTAGGAGCTGTGCAAAGTACAATCTTTTGTGTCGGTAACTCAAATGCTCAAATGAGAGAAAAAATCGTACTACTAATCGTTTGCATTGTAAATTTGTTCACCACATGTTTTGTTAACGTAAAACGATATATCTTGCAGTTCAGGTATCGTTAATTTTTTAATTTCTCCAAAATTTCAGGTTTCAAGCAAGTCCGAGAAGATGGAACATCACATTTGTGAAATGTATGTCCATCTGGCACAATTAACTGCTACAATTGCTAAATCAAATAAATTTCTTTACTTTGCGCCACTAGTAAAAAGGCTTTGGAAGTCAAGACAATGACTACAAATGAATTGGAATTAGAAGCTCAATAAAATTATCCCTTTGAACACAAATGCTTTCTTGTGCTGAGCGATCGATATGAATACAAGCGTCACTCAATCAGGGCCCATACTTTCAAAAAAAGTTAAGAGATCGTAAGTTCATCAGCCAATCATTGACGGCCTTTCAAGCAAAATTCACCAATCGTAGACAAGAAAATAGACTGTGAGTATTTACGTTCACTTAGCGAGTTTTGAAAGTATGGCCCCCGATGAATAACTACCGAACCACTTACTAAGGTAAACATAGCTTGTACAAAAGTGTCATGGCGCGGTGAAAGCAACATAGGTTTACCAGGCATCACAAATGAGCTACAAAGAGAACTAATCCTTGGAATTATCGTACAAAATAATAGGCCTTATAAGTTGAAGTCAACACGAGGAAGCCAAGAGACTTTCTCAGTCCTTTGACTGTACATGGATTCATTAAAAAAATCTCTAAAGGGTTGAAAAGCGAGAAAATTCTTGATTTTTCTTCCCCATTGAATTGTAACTTGATATGCGCTTTAAGCAATCAGATGATTTTAATCCATTGTTGTTTCTAAACTAAGTTCGCGTCAGTAAGGAGAGAAGGCTCTTGAAGGCTGATTCAAATTAAAACTTATTTCAGGCATTCAAGCTGAATTAGTATAAAATTTAAATCGGGCGAGTGAAAATTCCAATAGAAAACAAAAGGTTTTTGATTAAATGCTGAGTCCTGAATTGGAATGATGGCAGGAATATGACGTCAATATTCACAGGTACACTCAATATAATACCCGAAACAAGCGATGAAAAGATTTATATATATAAGTGAAGAGATATAAGTGATTGGTTCATAGTGCTTTTTACCTTGAATACCAAAATTCAATAATGCGATGACATTCAACAATTCTATGTCTCTCATTGCTCAACTTTGAAGAGGAAATCTCTTCAGTGATAGCAAACACAACAATACAAGTATATATTATATACCAATCTACGCAGGACAACTAAGAACACAGAAATCATGCGAATAAAATAAAATTTATAAATGGCGTGCAGATTTACGAATTAAATCATTCGAGGATTTATACGAAAATACAAGAAAACATTGCCATACAAAACACTGTCCCACAAATGCGAAAGATTGTTCATTGAAAACATATAGGATAAATCAAGGGATATGTAGCACAACAAGCAGTGCAATACAAAAACTACACACCTTTAGCAATATACACTGAACTAAAATTAACAAAGTGACGACATACGCGGGTAGCCGACTAGTGTGTCAGTGAAGTAATCGCTTGTAGGATTACGTTATATTGGACAGAAACTCTCTTGATGGGCGCAGTGCGAGTCCGTGCTTAAGTCGAGCTTTACACCAATGAAGCATATGGTCCGGAAGGAATGCGTTATGAACATTACTGTGAAAATATGTAGAAATTGTAGTACAATAAGTTCGAAATCAGAACCTTCAATTGCTAATTCCATTAATAGGAAGATGAAGGATTCACACATATTGATGACAAACTTCAGTAACGAGTTTCTCAGATTTAGGCCGGAGCCACATAGCGCCCTGCCTGTTGTACGACAAGTAACTCGACCATTGCTGTCTGCTTGAGGTCAGAACAATGCACAATGCGTCACAAGAAGAGGCTTACCAGCCATCAGTCCACCACACGCTGATCCTTGTCTAGCTCCACAGCTTTATACGAAACAATGGCAGCAACAGAGTACCAATAGCCTCTACCTCAAACACGGTAATCACTTAAGAACGAAAAGTACAGAACACACTTGTATAGTAAGATAGACGCGATGGACCAAATCTAATTCGTGATATTCGAGACCTTTATTCTTGTTAGTGATATTTTTTGCGATTTGTGAGGTTTAATTGTATCATCTTGCATCAATGAACATCGTCGGAACAGACCGTAATACCATCACTCTGTCTTAAAGACAGTAATATAATGAACCACTCCACAGGATGGTCAATTAGAATGATTTTAATCCTGAAGAACAGATCGAACTATTGACCAAGATCAGGAATTGTTAAGATATTTAAAATTTTCATATCCTAGCACGGAGTTGTATACTAAAACTTATGCCCGACAATCCTGTTGAAGAAAACTTGAGTTCTCACTTGAGTGGGAATTCCGTGGTTAAATTGTTAATTTTAGCTTCAATTTTGCAAAGTTGCGGTTGAAAATCAAGCTTAAACATGACAAGCATCACCTAATTCTTGCAAATGAATAAGAGCCTCTGTAATGCCCAGTCAACTTAAAATTGTTGTGAAGATTTGAAGATTTAAAGTTGTGTGAAGATTTTTTCGGTGCGCTAAACACTTAATATATGCAGCAGGCAAGGCAGAAAGCGGGTAATCCAAGCCAGCGAAGTGAGCTACAGATCGCAGATCATGTCTATCGAAATCATTTACATTCTTAGGACTGTAGATAAATATTTGTTGTAGTTAGAAGTGGCAATATCATCAACAATATTTGTGCTGCGTTAGTAGATAGCGACGAAAGGAAAGTATCTGTGAATTTATTCTACAAAAAAGTAAAAATTATATTCAAGTACTTTGGTGATATTCGGGTACAGCCACCTGATATATGAAAGAAAACGTAAAAAATGCGAGTTTTTCCTCGCCCATGTATCCTCTATCAACTACTCCAGTGATATTATGCTAGACATATAATGCTGGCGCCATGCCTTGAAGAGAACAGCAGCTGTGAACCTCGTACACAACTTCCTTTGTTTCCAGAGTATATCAATCACCAGGAGGCGGTTTACATAGACAAATCCTAGGTAATGGCCTTAGGCACCTAGACAAATCCTAGGCAATGGCCTTAGGCACCCAGACAAATCCTAGGCAATGGCCTTAGGCACCCAGACAAATCCTAGGCAATGGCCTTAGGCACCCAGACAAATCCTAGGCAATGGCCTTAGGTACCTAGGCAAATCCTAGGTAATGGCCTTAGGCACCCAGACAAATCCTAGGCAATGGCCTTAGGCACCTAGGCAAATCCTAGGTAATGGTCTTAGGCACCCTGACAAATCCTAGGCAATGGCCTTAGGCACCTAGGCAAATCCTAGGCAATGGCCTTAGGCACCTAGGCAAATCCTAGGCAATGGCCTTAGGCACCCAGACAAATCCTAGGCAATGGCCTTAGGCACCAAGCCAAATCCTAGGCAATTGCCTTAGGCACCCGGACAAATCCTAGGTAATGGCCTTAGGCACTTAGGCAAATCCTAGGTAATTGCCTTAGGCACCTAGACAAGGTGTTGGTCTCGGTCACCTAGGCAACTGCGTCAGGCAACTAGGCAACTGCCTCAGGCACCTGGGCAACTGCCTCAGGCACCTGGGCAACTGCCTCAGGCACCTGGGCAACTGCCTCAGGCACCTAGGCAACTGCCTTAGGCACCTGGGCAACTGCCTCAGGCACCTAGGCAACTGCCTCAGGCACCTAGGCAACTGCCTCAGGCACCTAGGCAACCGCCTCAGGCATCTAGGCAAATCCTAAGCACTGACTCCAGATGCCTATTCAAATCTTAGGTAATTGACTCTGGAACCCAGACAAATCCTAAGTAATCGCCGCACTCAGCGGTAAGCAAAGAGACAGGCTCGTCTGCTCGAGCATGAAGACAGCGTTCTTCACGCCTCTGTTTCTCCTTTCAAACGCAGCCGAGCAAAATCTTCAAAGATAATGTCGTCACTCTCAGCTGCTGCAGGTTCAGTCCCATCCCTGTAAATACAGGTACGTTCATACAAATATCCTGTATTAACATCTTACACATGTATAAACATCCATCCCTGTAAATACAGGTACGTTTTTTAGGTAGGTTTCATTAAAGACCAGAGAATTTGTTCTCTGGTCATTAATAAAACCTGGGTAAAAAAAATAAATTCTGCCAACCTATACAAATTTTCACATATATATTTACATGCAATTAATGTACTCGAATCTTTACACACAATTCGTAAACACAATTCTTGTTATACGTAGTATCGAGCCAGTGTAAGTGGTTGTTGTATCGAATATCAGAGCTTGAAGCGGGGATCTCAGAACTTTTGACTTGAAGACTCAAGACTTATAGTGCAATTTTTTTGGAAAGTCCAATATGCCGTCCAAGTAAACACGCAGGAATGCATGTAATCAAGAATTTCAAGCGCACATAATAGTCGTGGACTCACGCGTCCAGCTGTATGAGGTACAGCAACACTCACGCGTCCAGCTGTATGAGGTTGGTATCAACAGCAACACTCACGCGTCCAGCTGTATGAGGTACAGCAACACTCACGCGTCCAGCTGTATGAGGTACAGCAACACTCACGCGTCCAGCTGTATGAGGTTCAGCAACTCTCACGCGTCCAGCTGTATGAGGTACAGCAACACTCACGCGTCCAGCTGTATGAGGTACAGCAACACTCACGCGTCCAGCTGTATAAGGTTGGTATCAACAGCAGGGTCCTGATGATCGAGGTCGGCTGCAGTTGAAGGCTGCGTGGACCCAGCGATGTCGCCACCACAGGCGCCGCCCCGCACGGTGTCCGCGTCCTCCTCGGGCTTCGGGTGCATAAGCGTGAACGGCAGCTCCGCAACAAGGTCCCTGGCAGCACACGTATTTATCATTAGAGTGAATTATTAATTTACGAAGGCACATTAGTAACGAATATTAAATGTATTATTCAAATTAATTTAAATGAACTAGTAAATTAGTAATTAATAATTAATTAGTAAGTAATTAGTAATTAAATTAAATGTATTAGTAAATTCTGGAAACGCATCTTAACACTTTGACTCTGATTGCTTCATCTTGTACTATTATTTTATTTTTTGTACTGTTTTTAAACAGGGTTGCCAGAAATTCCATGATTTAGTTTTTCCCAACTGCATTGGCTGGCTAAAATTTATAATAGGGGTACTTCCTAATTAAATTTTAAATACTGCAAAAGGAAAATAATTGGAATTTACATAGCGGAACCAACAAATAAACTGGTATATTTTGAGTTATCAGCCGTTTGTGGCCTTTTTTGTTCTCGGATTTGGCTGATTTTAGGCAACCTGAATTATGTACCACTCCGTCCTGGAGAAATACATTTTGTGGTATATGCATATGTTCCACTTCAGAGTCAACGTGTTAAATTCCAGTACTTCAGAGGAAAAACATATATTAGAAACTGTATTAACAGCACTTTTGAGATATGTAAGTTCTACTTCTCTGCCTTCCATTATTTACTGAAATGAATCTGGATAATCTTGCATAGGTCAGCTTTCAGAAAATTATTATTAAGAAATAATATTCCATTACTACAACACACAGGATTGATTGCATTCTTATTTATACCATCACTATAATGACTATCATACCATAACTATAATAACATTTAAACACTAGTACATATTTTTGTGTAATGCGTTCCATGACTAAATACTGGGTTCAAAAGGCCAGATCCCTTGTGGAATCAAGTCACAAAAAGTACAAGAACCTGCAACAGCCCATGGGCCTATTTCTTCAGTGCCGACACTTGTTTTCTATTCTATTCTATTACTATAAATTAAATTTTTACCAGGTTGTGGATTGCAAGAAACTCACCCTGCTAGAGCTCCAAGAGTGATTTTTAAACACTAATTCAGATTTTTATGTAGTGAGTACCATGACTAGAAATTAAATCTGTATCAGGTTGTGGACTGCAGGAAACTCACCCTGCCAGAGCTCCAAGTGTGAGCTTCACCTTCACTTTGTACTGCACAACAATGCCCAGGTTCTCCTTCTGTGATGGGTCTGTAATTCTGGAGACAAACAAATTTAATTTGGTTTTAGCAGAATATGAAATAATTATTTGTGTATGTATCAATGATCCACATAAACTAAGTATGAAAAATTAGTAAGTTGTAATTTCAAAACTAGCCTTTCAAGTGAAACTGTAAGAAACAAATCATGATTTGTACTGCAAAATCTCTCTGGAGGAACTAAGTTTTTGATTATATAGGTTACAACTCCATTACTAGTTCAAAAAATGAAGAATACAAGTATGTAGGGAAAAACCAAAATTCACACAGAGGAGATTAAATGGTAAATATTCAGAAAAAAAGGTCAATTAGGTCAATTAGCATAAAAATATTTACATGTATGAGGTTAATTATTTTCAAATATTACATTATAATTAAATATTATATCCTCATCATTAAAAATTTCAAGCGGAAAAGAACTATAAGTATTGTGGAGACAGGAATTTTCATCTTGAAATGAAATGACAACATTGTTGATTCCAAGATCATTAAATCTGAAGCATCAGAAGGGGCCCAAAATGACCAAATTTCTTAGGGCACATTAATGTTGTTCTGTTCAGCATGAAGGTATAGAACAGAATGAGGAGGGTAGGCTAACAGAGCTTGTCCTTATATCCGTGAGGTTTGAACTGATGATGGAGATTGTTTCCACAATGTTTTGTTAAAGAAATTATGGTAAAATTACTGAATTTATTATAATTCTTGGTAAAGTGATGAGAAAATATCTCTATTGTTAATCTTTCTACTCATAAAGGCATACTTAAGCTCTGGTGATTCTGAAAATTCAAAAATCCAGTTGATGATTTTGTCAGATAAATTCAAGTTCATTAATGCTCTTGGTTTTTGATATATCTTTTGGATACAAAAAACATTTATCATCATTATACATTAAGAAATATAAGTGCAGGTACAATCATAATAATAAAGATCAATAACTCTTGCATGGCAAATGTTTTTACAATTTCTTGCAACTTGAAAATGACACTTCAGTGCATAACATAAAAATGAACTCTATATTTCTAGCTCTCCCTCAAGAGACTTTTGGCAGAGTTTCACAAACCAGCAAAATGAGGGTAATGCAACAAGTTTTTATTGTAGTTTACAACAGACTTTACATTTAAATTACAAATTCATCAAAATAAATTGTATAATTGTCACTTTAAGTTCTGCACTTTTACCATGCTCACCCTTCTGTCCTTTTGCAATGTTAAGTGCAATGTTGAAATGTTGCTTACAGCAGATGGTGTTTCCACATGGAAAAATGATTTGGTACTTACAGCAGACGGTGATTTACTTGAGTCATATTTTGCATGAAAAAAATGCTTATCAACAAAGTTCTAACATCAACTATTTGCTTGGCAAAAATGTGTTAATATTTAAAAATATTTGGTTCAGTACTCACAGTACGTAGGCCAGGGTCAAAACCACACCATGGAAGGGTTCAAAATCAGAGCTCAAATTATGAATATAGTTTAGTTGCGAAATGAAACAAAAGGTGGCACTAATGTTAAAAACTTTGAAAATTTGGTTTGGCTCTTACACAATAGGGATGGCAGGTTAGGTACTTCCTGCACACAGGACTTCTACAGTAGGTACTGATTACACAAAGAAGAAGCACAGCACCCACCTCTTGGAAAAATGATTTGGCACTAACAGCAGATACAGAATGAGGAAGGCAGTAGGCAGATTTAGGCAGATGCAGTAAGAGGGAGATCAAGAGTATGGCAGATTTAGAGCACAATAAGCAAGACTATATACTTAGAACTTACGGCAAGGAAGACATGTTTTGTTATCCAAGTTTCAGAGAGGCAAGATTAAGTGTCCACTGCTGAATAAATCTTTGTGCAGTAGGCAGAATTAGGAAGATACAGTATGAGGGAGATCAAGAGTATGGCAGATTTAGAGCACAATGAGTAAGACTATATACTTAGAACTTACTGCAAGAAAGACATGTTTTGTTATCCAAGTTTCAGAGAGACGAGATTGAGTGTCCACAGCTGGATAAAATTTTGTACTGAAGTCAAAGCTAAAACAGCTACAGTTACTTACAGTGTGGATGAGGCTAGGTTTGTGTCCTCATCTCTGATACGACCATCAAGTGCAAGGCCATATTTATGGCGGTTGTCAGCCAGGAGAGGCGTCAAAGAAATGACTTTACTGAGGGAGGTGCTGGGAGACACTGGGCAACCATCACTGCAAGGTCACCATTTTGTTGCCATCACTACCCATGCTAGACATGCTGAATAAGTGGGCACCTCAAAACCTTAGTAATTGTTGAAAATTCCTTAATGCCACAAATGACAACCAACCAATTTCAAAAGAACCACCAAAAGGAATCCAGTAAGACCGTAACCCAAACATCCCTTAAGATGGACTCCACACCAACTAAATTTCAGGCTCATGCTTTCACAGCCAGAGTGACACACGAGCAGCAAGCAAAAGTAACCTAAACTGATACTTGTAGAGGATCGTGGCACAACAATGTATCCTACATTGAATTTGTGTTCACCCACTCCTCCACAAGTGAAGGATTTCAACTGAAAAGGTACATGTTTAAAACATTCAGGTGTGGAAAAAGTATTGACTAGTTTTTGTCTGCTACAATTCTTATTCGTCTGACACAATTTGACCTGTCCAATTGATCTGAAATTTTGCACAATTGCATAAAGTCAGAGACAATGCATGAATCAATTTAAAGAATAAATAATTTTGAAAATTTACAAAATGTTGATATCTTGAAAAATTTTTAATAAATATTTTTTTTTTAAATATTTGAAAATTAAATTAGAAATTCATTGTACATGTGTAACATCCAAGACACTGGATTGTTCAGAAGTATTGTCTTTAAAAAGTAATTTTTAAATGCATATAATTTTTCATCATCTTTTCAGAACAGATGTAATGAATAAATTCCCATCTGGAACCGAGTTCCATTTTGCAATGCTTTTTAGTGAGTGGAGCATTATATTTCCTGCATTATTTCATTACAATTAATGACATTTAGATAATTTTCCCTTGTAAAAGTTTAAAAACTTCAGCAGTTGGTTCAGCAGTGATTACCTTACCTGAATAAATTTACTTTTGTCAATGTTTTAATTTCTTTTCAATAGTGTTTCTTTGTCTTAATTGAATTCCATAACAGCTCATTCCTACAACTTTGGCTATTTCATTAATTCACTAGTATTAATTCCCTTAATTAGTTTGTAATCCTTCCATTTTAGCATCGGTGTTTAGAGTGTCCTAACAAGGTTATGTTTAATAGATTAAAGTCCCTGCTAGCCTTAAAATCTTTTAATGTAACTAGCGGTAGTGTTCATTAGTAGTTTCATATCTTTCTGCTGCCACGTGACCTAGTGAATGATTGTCTGCCTGTGCTTCCCAATTACATTCTCATAAGTTGCTCTCATGACCCTAATCACTACTCAATTCCATTACATTGAACTTTGAAACTGTTTTGGGTTCCCTCAAACACATTATCTATTTTTGTTATTCTGGATTCTTCAGTTGTCTGTTAATTCCAATAAACTCAACAATAAATTTAACACATTTGACCAGCTTTCACTGCTAAGTTAATGTTTGCTACCAGTAAATCCACATGGCTAACATGCAAACAACATTTCATTCTTAGCCCGTAACAAGAACGGAATGAAGCCCACTGTCTAGGTCCAACAACTTCTTCAATTACAAGCAGCCTCTGTACCTGTTCAATGTACTCAACTCAATAGACATCAACAAATTCTCAGCTCAAGAACATGACAGCCCTCAACAGACAAGAAGGGAAAAGATAGGTTTAACTATGATAGTTTAGTTTTCAGGCCTTCACGTACAATGAAATAAGAGGGTTTTGAGTTCATCATGCTTCTTAGTGGGAAGAAACATTGAGTAGATTCAATACCAGGCTGCTCAAGGGGATATGAATACAAATAAACATGATGCAAATTTAAGAGATACATGCACATTGCACAGACACCTGAAAAAAAAAGAAGTCATGCATTAGACTAGATTCAACCATTTGGCAGGGGGGGAGGATTAATAGTTCTAGCTGAGGATTAAAACAATGCACATCAAAACCATGCTGTAAGGCAGACATTGTTAAGGCATGCACGTATTGAAACAATTGCACTGGACTTGGCTTCACCTGCAAGTTGAATGCTGGTAAAAAACTGATGAGCCACTAAGATGTCAGTCACTGTTAAGCACTAGTAAGCACATGCCAGGAGCACTAGGCACCACACATGTGAAGCTGCTGTTCTAGAGATGAATGTACATTGGGACTTACAGACAAAAGGATGCCGGAAACAAACTTTGAGTTAGGGCGATGTCAGCTACAGCAAATAACTGTGGAGACACTGCACAGAGGATCACAGACTCACAGAGAAGATGACGCCAGGTTTGTGTCTTCATGTTTAAGTTGTCCATCAAGCGCAAGGCCTCGTTTATCCTTGTTGTAAGCCAGCAGTGGTGTGAGGTGCACCACTTTAGAAAGTGTAAAACCTGGTCCCACAGGACATCCTTCTCTGCAGCACACCCACACAAACATTCAAGAGTTAACAAATTTATTACAGCATGAAGTAAAATGTTAATCACAGCCAAGGAGCAGCAGACTGGAACAAAACCTGCAGGTTAGTAGATATTCACAGCCCAAGCAAATGTAGAGGTCTGAGACAAATATAGAAACATCATTTTTTTGCACTACTAGCAGCAATTCAAAAGCTTAATTTGTTCAATCAATTAAATCAGTTTTAGTAAAATCTAATTATAACCTGTTTCAAAAATTGAATAAAATAGTGTCTTCTAGGTCTTTTGAAAACCTTTTCTCTAGAAAAAATTGTAAAAACTAAAACACAAGAATTGGGAAATCAACTTGAACAAAGAACTATATTTATAGTGGTAAACTACCTATATTTATAGTGGTAATTATGGATTATTATTTGCCAATAAAATAAAGTGAACTGAATAAATGCTGAAAGGTGAGGGAAGTTCATTGCTTTGGGAGTCTGGAGGAAGATGGAGAATAAGAATAAAAATAGACTAAGAAACTCAAATTTATTTTAGAACAATCAAGGATAGAAAAGCCAGGAACACTACAAATGACATCTAATGAAGCACATAAAAATGACCAAGATGAAAGTTGTGATTATGATTATGCTTGAAACAAAATTGGATGACTATTGATTGCATGTGCAGCAGAGAAAAAGGAAGAGGAGCAATGAGAAAAGCTTAGCCCCCAATACTAGTAAGAGTAATAGTAGGATGGTTTTCTAGCTCTTCAGCTATCAAGGATTTTCGTGCTGGAGGTCCAAAATCAAGATCACCAGCATGGTAGCATATCTCAAAATCATAGAAAATTTCTCATATCATTCATCACCTACAAGAGGTGGAAGGTCCCAATTATTGAGCCCCTTGAAGCTGAATCGAAATAAGTGGCATTAACATCTCAAAGAGACAATGTGATGAGGAGGGACAGGTGAACAGAAACAAACAAACAGGATGTTGCTTACACAAGATGTTGGTCAATCACAAGATGTATAATAGTCAAGGCAATAGGTAGTCAACTAAAAGTTAGAGATCTTTCCAATTAAAAGTTCATGATGTGAATTCAAAGAATGAAATAAACCTAAATCTAACTGAATCATCAAATACTACACAACCAAGATACAGATATGAAGAATATTAGAAAATAGAAATAGATCTAACATTGCAGAAATAAAAGTTGTATGCAATGAATAGACTGAAAAGTTGCACGAGAATGTAGACTGAAAAGGCTAGCTGGTAAAGGTTTATCTCATAAACTAAAATGATACCACTTTAATGCTAGACAACAACATAAAAATTACTAGTTGAGAAGCTAAAAAAAAGACAGCAACTGATGCCCAGTGACAGTAAAGACACACACATCATGATTTGGGATACACAAGTTGATGTTAGGTAAGTAGATGTTCAGAGAGTAGGTATAGAATATAGATGCTGGTGTTGAATTGTAGGTGAAACTAACTATGCTATTAATGGGGGTCAGCCCCAATGTGGCCCCTAACACTACGGTTTACTAGTTTAAGCTTGGCTGGAACCAGCATTAAATTATTACAATATAAATAAATATTTATTAATTTATATTGTAGGAATCTAATGCTGGTTCCAGCCAAGCTTAAACTAGTAAACCATAACCATAGTAAATAACCAAATTAAGAAATAACCTTTACTCTACTAATTTTATGAGAGTCATAATTGTCATTTGTATTTTAATGTTTATTAACTGGAGTTACCATCAGGGTAGGAAGAGATGAATATTATTCAAATTCCTCTCATGACTTATAGCCAGTTTAGACTAGTGAAGAGACTGGTATAAAACAATATAACTCAGTACTCACTGCAGTGAGTGACAGAGAGCGCATTTTTTAGTTGATGAAAACGTGAAGCCACGGACGGACGGACAGATGGACATGGAGAGCACAATAGTGCATTTTTTCCATAAATGAGAAAATGCACTAAAAACCATGGCCAATAAGTACTTCATGCAAATCCAGATTTTTCCATTACAGTGACAGTTTGTTAAATGTAGTTGATCATTGCTCAGCAGTAGATTACAGAAAATCAGAAAAATTCTTCATGAAAAATTGGCCATTGATTTTGACACAGGGGCTAAATGGACAATCAAGCCAGGGTAGTTTGCTCTATGATAACACAGCGCTCTCCAGTTTTTCACTTGCTTTACATCCATCATTGGTTTCCATCCATCATTTACATCATTGGTTGAATGTGAGTTTTGAGCATTAATTTGGCATATTATGCTCAAGTGAATATCTTCCACTTACTTTGTCAAGCATGACTTGGCTTTCTCTGCAATCAGGGTTGCACTCTTACCTACTAAGCGAACTGCCCACCTCCCCAACTGTGCTGGGTTTTTTACTGCAAAAAAACCTGTGTTTTTAGCACATTTTCTCATTTATGGAAAAAAGGCGCTATTGTGCTTGTCACGTCTGTCTGTGACTCATGTCCATCCGTCAGTGACTTCATATCACAGACAGACGAGAAAGTGCGCTCTCTGTTACTCACTGCAGTGAGCACTGATCTAATTTTTTGAAAATCTAAAGGAGTGAAAAGTGGATTTCCAAGCAAACTCAAGAATGTATCAGGTAGATTTTATGGTTTTGAAGTTCATAGTGCAATAATACTGGATAGAAGATACAAAGAAAATGTCTATTAAGCCTTATTGAATAAAGACAGTCATGTATATATGTATAGTGCAAGCCTCTAACAAACACTCATAGATCATACCAAAAAAAAAATACCCACCCATTATAGTTTTGGAATGGTTACTTGGTCCCCTAATTTGCTATACAGTCATTCAGGACCTATCAAAATAACGGGAAATCAAAAATATAACCACCAGATGGCTCCTTCATATAGAAGTCCATTTGGTGATTTTTGCAATTCTGTCCCAATACAATGATAACCCTACCTAATTCTGCAAAGTTAGCCCTACCTAAACTGTAGGTTGATATCAATTTTAACTTCATTGGTAATTTAATTTGCAAACTGTAGCTCTCAATGTATCACAGAAAAAAATGATTTTTTTGAATTTTTAACTTGGTAATCTAATTTGCAAACTTTAGCTCTTAATGTGTCGCAGAAAAAAAATGCAAAAAGAGAAAAATTATGTTTTTTGTGATATTTACATTTACCATGCATTTTGAGACTGCAAATTCATGTCCGATATTTTTCGAGTTAGCCAACAAAAAATCCATAAAACAATTTTTAGAAAATTGGTGATTATAAAAAGCCTAAAATCAAGTGTATTTGAAATGAGGAAAGCAGAGTCAATAGACTTGTTAGGTGACCAGTTGATATTTTGGCTCCTGAAATAGACTCAAATCTTAAAATACTTTGAAAAAAGTTTGGTCACAACAATAAAAAGAAGATCAAGCACTCTATGAACTTTACATTTTTAAAGACACAATGGGAGAGAATTTTCTGTACATGGGTCTTTTCTCAGTACCCTAGTTTTTTAACACATATGGGTTTTTTAACTTTCACATAATGTAGCTTCTCATTAAAAACATTTAGCAATACCATTATGTCAATTTTTTAACAGGTGCATTCAATAGTAGAAGCCACAAGGTTTGGTACATACTTCAAAATTTCAAGCCCAATTTTTCACAGGTTATGAAGAGAAAACTGAAAATTGAGTTTTGTTAGAGGCGTGCACTATTTGAGTTATGTGAAACAAAAGAACAGCAAAGAACTGGATTAATTGATTCAATACATATTTTTCAATGATTAGTAGTCCATTACAGGGACGTCACTGATTTTAAACAGTGATGAAAGTTTATGCTGCATCACTGGCTCATTGTATAATAAGGTGCTTATACACGGGGCTAGTAGTTGCGTATATTGGTTGCGTCTACTACAGTTTTGAAGGCTAAAAGCCTATACACGAGTATAGTGTTTTTGGTACACTGCGCTCGCGTCAGTGCGACGTTGGGAGTTGTCGAGTAAGGGTGTGCACGGTGGAGGCATGCGAGAGCACGACAGCAGTGCCCGCTACAGTGGGCGAAAGAGCGAGCGACGCAGCTGTGCTCGGTATGACGGCCGGGCAGCTACTGAGCGCAATAGACTGCTTCAAAACAACTCTAGTTGCCTTGCCTGCAATGAACCAGCTAGTTGCCTCTGAACACGTCAAGCATCACAAATTTTTGTAGCCTGGCCTAGTAGATGCAACCAATATACGCAACTAATAGCCACGTGTATAAGCACCTTAGGTATATTGACAATTAATAGTAATAGTGGTTGACACTCAACAGCTTCAAACTTTTAATAATCAACATAAATGAGAGGACTTTGAAGATATAAATTAATATTAAAGAATCCCAAAAAGTAAAAATACCCACTTGCACAGCTTTTTAAATAAAAACAAGGTGAGTTGAGCAATTTGAAAAAACTCTGGGTTTCTACAACCTTGTCTGAAATGCAATGTTTATTGCCTTATCATCCACATAATTTTCTTATAGAAGAGTTTATAATAAGTAATGCCTGCAGACAGAAAGCTTCACATATGGATGAATTTCTGAGGATATCAACCAGATTAAGATAGATTTGAAATAAAAATAATGTTTCTGTATTAAAAAAATTACATTTTTTCTGTATTAACATAGACAAATAATAAAAACAGGGCCTTGAGAAAAACATGAATAACTTAAGCCAAATTTGATAGAAAATTATTTAATTAGTATAAGCAACTTTAATTTTCTAAGAGAGTGGGAATAAGTATATGTGTTAGGGATTAATTACATAAAATGAAAAATAGCACACAAAATAACCTTGAACACAACATGAAAGTGTCTTCAAACCAGAACACTTCATAAACTAGGAATAACAAACAACTGCATGTTGTGGAAAATATTCACACCTTGCATGAAAATCAATAATTTTGCTGATGTATTGTCCAAAAGCTGAAAAAGAGTCATTAGTGATCTAACATATGGGGTTAGTTGACAAGCACAGCATCAGTGAGTTTTGTAGCAAGAACACTGCAGGCAATGCATGATGTTATTTATTAAGCATTTATTACACTGCAATTTATGACAGTTGGCATAAATTGTATATTGTCAGATGATCATGATGACCAGCTGAACAAATTATTAAGATTATAAATTTAAATTGGCATGATACTAAAACAGGTTATTGATAACAGAGGATAGCATCTTTTAAAGCAGGCAAAGACTGCCAAGATGAATTTTATCTCATCCACCAAAATATGTTGAACTTGACGGTGCTGAAAAACGTCATTATATGAAAATATAGAATATAAATCTTTATTGTCATCACCTCGTTTTCATGGCAGCATCAAAAACAGTTAAGTTGTAATAGCCAAAAATTGCCTTCAGCACTAGACCTGAATAAGGCAACAGCCATATTAATTTCAATTTCAACTTGAAAGCAAAACAATAAATGCCCCAAAATAACAAAGAAAATAAGCAACAAATTATACCTCCAAAAAGATTTCACAACATCCAAGTTTCACAACAACAGACCACAACCAAGAATCCCTATCTGGAACTGGGGGCAACCATCACATCACATCAAACACTTCCTGTTTTGTATTTTGCCTCAACCAGCCAGTTGTTGTAGGAAAAGGGTAGAGAGTATTTGGGAGTATATGAAAGGCAAGGTCATGAAGTTTTGTGTCGAGCCTAGTCAGTTGCCACTATGCATTGGACAAGTGAGCAGTGTGTGTTTGCTGTCAAGGTGTACTTTTCTAACGGCTGTTTCACTATTGCTACTCAACGAGCATTCCATACTTGGTTCCATATTTGCCCTTCAGGTCAGGTTCTTTTACCGGGTTATTGAAAATAAATTGTTTACAATGACTGTCCAAAAACCCTACCTTATTTAAAAAACAACATGTGCCAAGCTATTGCACAAATACCAGTCAATATGCTTCAGCAAGTTGAACAGAACTTCAAAAATCAATTAAATGAATGAATTGACAATGGGAGTGTCATTTGTCCAATGCCATCTTCAAACTAAGTGATACAAAAATTCAGGTAATGTCTTTTTCAATGAAATTTATACTGTTATGATATCTTTACCAGCTCTTTTTCATTGAGCTGTCAAATCAGGAAGTTTCTGTGAAACCCCCTGTATGTGTAAGTGTTTAAAAATAGAGCAAACAAACACATACATCCTTCTTTGGAATAATAAAGAACAACCAACTAACAAGACTGCTCATCAATATAAACTAGAGCTCCAAAATAATAAACAGGACAATTAAATTTATAATAATCAAAATTATTTATATTTCACAACCTACTTCATTATTAAAACATTTTACATTCAATTATATCCTCTAATTAAACAATAAAGTCCTTCAAATGAAGCTAAAATTGAGTGAAATAGAACATGATTATGCTCAAGTAAACTGCATTTATGTACATGCATGAATGATAAATATATATTTTCACTGAATTTTCACTGAATATGTTGGTAGCATAATAAGACAGGTACATATTCTCTAACCTCATTCCAGCTATGCACACAAATGAAGGTAAATCACAACTCAGTACTCACTCAGTGTCGACCTCAGCAACAGTACACTTGTACTGCGCTGTTGAGAACAGACAGATGTCAGCCAACTGCCGGACTGTCAAGAAAATTGAAAAATTCTCATTAAGTTTGATAATATTTATAAATTAACTATAAATAGCAAAGTTCAGTTAGAGTAGGAATTGAAGTTTCTCAAGTTTCACCTAATTTTATCGTAAAATTAGATTATTTCACTGGCATTTTATCAAAATTCATATTTGTTACTATACTCTTTACAAAATGTAGGGAATATCTTAAAAACTAATTCTATAATAAGAAATTCTTTTAACATTGAACAATTTCAATCATTAAACTATTTATTTCAAATATTCATGTAATTGTTACATGAAATATAAATATTTTGAAATTTTATTACCCAAATGTATATATTCAAGTACTGGCAACTAAAATTACACTACATGCAACAAAAGAACCTACATTAGCACCCCCTTTATATGAATAAATCAATGCCAGTAGTGTTAACTTACTTGAAACTTTGATTCTTTTAACACTTTTATTAGAGTTGTTCTGAATGTGCACATTGACAGCAACTGTCTCGCCGTGGTAGTAGAGCTGGTGTAAGAAAAATATGCATTGATAGTCAACATGAATCTGAACTTTCCAGTGATTATCTCATTTATTCTTCCTATTGAAGATTATCAGTCTGTGCAGAGAGTTGAATTGCGTTTTCTCCTAATTACTCACTTAAACATATCATTTCTTCAACAATTTGACAAAAAAATTTGGTAGGTAATGTGTTTTAGCAAACCATTCATGAGAGCTTCATAAAATGCAGTGAAAAATGGTTGACAAACAAAACCCTTACACGAGATTTTAGGAATGGCTAAAAGAAGACATCTTAACAACTTAGAAGGAAAAGATGAGTAAAAAGTAAAGAAGAAGGCAAAGCATGTTCCATTGCTAAAACATGGAACATCACACTATCCCTTGATCATTGTTCAAGAACAATAGCTGATCATCAAAAATATTATTTGCAATTATCCGAAAGTTGAATTAAAGATTGGAGTAAAAATTGCCAGGCAAATTAGAGCATGAGCAAAAAAATTCCTATTTCTCAAAGCAAAGGAGCAGTCAACAACCAATTTCTTCAGAGATGAGCAAGGAGTAATTAAAAGCTGAATGCCAAGTGGGACTAAATTGGAAGATGTGGTTGAAATAGTTCTGTTGAGAAAAAAGTACCACTGAGAATCATTCATAATGGGAAATAAAAAATTCATGATTCACTGCATCTAGTCAATTTGAATACGTAGTAGAATAGGTAGAATAGAAGCATCTAACCAAATGACATTATACACATGATAACAATGAATAAATCAAAATGGAGCTTCAAATTGATGAACAGAAGGGCAAAATGGCAATCAATTGTTAGGCAAAGGAGCACTACAGTTTTAGTTTACATAATGAACACATTGCACATACATAAACATCTGCAATCAGATCATTATCCAAGGACCTCAATAATAATTACATACTAACTTGCCTATGAATCTTCCTTCTAAACATTTGCTTAGAAAAAATGTTCCAGCACATAATAAAACACAGCAAACATTCATCAGGCAATTCATGTCTTGAAGAGTCTGACAATCTTGGACAGTATAATATTGTTTTCAGTTTGAGTGGACTGATGATAAAGTTAAATGCAATTAAAATTGCAAAACATTGTAATAGAATACACTAGTAAATTTTGTACAAGTCAGAGAAGCAAGACTCACCTCCTTATCAAGGGAAGCCTCTAATAAATTTATTGCATTTATTATTATTTATATTATTTATTTATTATATTATTTATTACTATGTAACAGAATACACTAGTAATTACGAGTCAAGGAAGCAAGACTCACCTCCTTATCAAGGGAAGCCTCAAGGTGCAGCTTGTTTGGTGACATCATGAACTCTTTGCTGACCTCAACATTGGGCTGCTTGCCTTGCTTGGCAGGCGCATACATCACCTTCCTGATGGCCAGCCGCACCGAGCTTCTGATCAAACAACCAGGTTGAGTGTAAGAATTTAGTCAATTGCTTTCATAAATTTTGTCAATTTAATACAGAGTTTGAAGTACCATGAAAAGAACTTTCCCTTCATTAACCTTGATCAAACAACCAGGTTGAGTGTAAGAATTTAGTCAATTGCTTTCATAAATTTGGTCAATTTAATACAGAGTTTGAAGTACCATGAGAATAACTTTCACCCTTGATAAACAAAAACTGATATTCAGGCAAATTTCAAAACCAAAAATTCTTTTTAATTACTGAAAATTTAAGGTGCACCTCTCAGTCCAAATATATGGTATATACTTGAGGCAATCAAATTCTGAAAAAAATTTGCTCGCATCTCTGAACCACAACAAAATATCAAAACTGCCCAAGTATCTAATAAACAGAATGTTTAGAAAGTAATTTTGTGGTTTATAAAAACAAATGTTATTTTGAATTCTAGCACATGACTAAAAATAGAAAAACTTACAATCAAATTCTAACTTACCAAAAATAATAGAAAATTCTTAATTGAATTTAATTCCATAAAAGAGAAAATAAATGTTCATACTCAGATCATATTCCATATAATTGAAAAATACACTAACACATGACATTGATGGATTTGTAAAACATCAATAACTGGATAGATAACGGACTCAACTGGATAGATAACGAACTCAACAGAGGTGTTTTTCATGTTGATCTCACATGTCTACATCCTAAGTATTTGGTTTTAATTTTATTTTGTTGTTTAGAGTTGATTATACCAAAAGATATACTTGAAAAAACCATAAGCAACAAAAACACACACACCCCCTCCTCTATTTCTTCATTTATGAGAGATTTTATTTTCATTTTTTATTTCCCTCACTTCCAAGTTGCTGGGAAGGAACAAGCATGTGATATGATAAGATAAGATAAGATATGATATGATAAGATGATATATGATATGATAAGACAGAGTTAAATGAAAACTAAGCAGCTTTTTTAAATCCACAAAATTTTGAATACAGAAAAAAAGCCAAGCAATGAATTTATAATGTGGTGCTTTCTTATACATGTGTCAAATCATTTCCAGTTTTATTATGTTCAGCGGGAGGAACCGTTAAATGGCATTTTATTTTCCAAACCCATGCTAGAGCCACTTGCTGGAAGCAAAGAATTATTGATGCTGTTATGACTTGACTCTCAGTATTATTGGCGCCAGTGGGTATTTACCAGAATTTTTGGAGAGTATAGAGAGAGATAATAATCTTATTAGAATTGAAGTTCCCAAATGTCTAAGCATACATCTAGGAATATATTTCCTGTTCCAGGTGCAAAATAAAGGAGAAAGAAGTGTTGTTTTTTTTTTTTTTTGACAGCCATTTGCCATTTAATTTCCCATAATTGCATCTTGCAGTTGTATTTTGCTAAGCAAAAAGCAATTGTGATGTTGTTAAATTCCATATAAATGGAATTTATGTAAGATTAAATATTGTGAAATTTCCAAGAACTCGTAGAATAAATGAAATCATTTACACATTGATTATTTCTTGTAATACCAAGTTTTCTAGGTTCTCCAGATATGAATACACTTTCTCAGCAGTCCCTAATTAAGGGATAAGATTCTTTACTCTTTTACTTGAATTTATGATGTCTTGGGCATAGATGAACTCAAATGAGTGTCTCTAGTATTTATTAATTATTAATTAATAATTATTTAATTATTATTAATTAATTATTACTTATTAATTATTAATTGTTAATGATAAATTTAATCCCCACAGGCAAAACTAAATAAATGGCAAACAAGTGCTCCATGTTGCTCCTAAAAAAATATCAGCCTAGAGTAAATTTAATTGAAGAACAATGGCAAATCATCGTTGCATTGAAACAATTAGAGACCAAAATTGACAAGCTGGATAGTTGATTCAATGCTAGAGAGAAATAACAGCAGATGATAATAGAGCTTCCAACACTTTAAATAAAATTAGTTGGACAATTTTTCAGTTCAAATAGAGTAGCTTAAAACAAAATATCAATATGCAAAATCAAGAACAGCAATAACACCTAAAAATAAAATAATTGTAAGTACCACAAACAGGAAAAACGTAAATATGTATTTTGTTCAGTATCTTATTAAATTATGATAGCTGTTTCCATCCATACTTGAAATTCAAATCAGAACTTCACAAAGCTTCCTAATAAATGAAACTAAATAATGGAAGTAACATTTTCTTGATGTAAGAATATCATTAAACTACATCAAATGCAGTTGAAGAAAAATTAACATAGCAGAAAATTTAGTTTCAAGTTACTATAGATAACTCATATACGGTAATGTTGGTGTTACACAATGGTAAAAAGAAATTGATTGGAAATCTTGAAAAACAAAGACATTTGAAAAACTTGATTCACTACAGCCACATGTAAAGTAAGCAAGTCTGAAATAAAAGTAACTATTGAACAATGAAATTTAGTGATTTTCATGATGTTAGTAATTTAATTAGGCAGATAAACAAAAGAGATGCAGGACTAACAACACCAAATGTTAGGCACTACAGAACATTAGTTTAAATTAAATTATTAATAAATGTGGAATTTAACTCAACAATTTAAATCAAATAGCTAAATCATATTCAAAGCCCAAATCAGACAAGTGAATTATTAAACAGACTTTATTATTTTGTTTACCGATATGTTAAACTTACACGAGTTGCACAAATTTTCAAAGCACACCCACAAGGTTCATGATTCATCTTACAGCCATTGGTAAACTAAACCAAACTAACTAATAAAAATTAATACCAAAAATTATTTTGGCACCAAAAATAGAATACTCAAAACATCTAGGCCATCAACTACAACAGAAATACAAGTTTATTTCTAAAAAATACTAATGTAGATAATGAAAAAAAGTACAAGCAAATAAATTTCCCTGTAAACGCAGGCTTGGTCCTGTTCAGATCTCTTTATCAGGTTTCAGTAAGCCTTAAAGTGAACAATTAATGCCTTGCTCTTTTGTTAATGAAGCATTCATGCCAAGAGTGTTTAAGCTGCCTGAGAAATACCACTAAAAGCTTACAAAAAATTACTAGGTTTAAAGGGCCATGTAACACATCTTGATCGTCAAGTGTTAATGAAAGTGAAAGTGTGGGGAGTTTGAATTCTGTATCTACCTTAATTAAATTTGATAATGTGTTGATTTTTTGTTGTTTTGCAAATTACAATAGGATCAAAATTTGAGTAAAATATGATCAATAATTGTGAGAAAATCTACATGGGACTATTGAGTGCTTTAGAAATAAAGACATTTTTAACTGAATTTGCAACGTTTTGACAAAAATATATTATATAAAATAAAACCATAAGAAAACTTGACAGTGCGTAAAATAACAGCAAAAAAAAGTACACTCCCTAGAAAAGATTTTTTTGTTTCTTAGGTTCAAATAAATAGCTAAATGTATCAGTGAATTTTAGTTCTGTACATTCTAAGTACAGTTTATTAATTAATTTAATAAGCTTTATGAATACTTACAAATATTTGTTTACACAAGAGAAGCTGACTTCCCAAGAGGAAGCTGACTTTCAAGTAATACTCTCTAATAATTAAAAGGGAGATCTAAAAGAAATGTTGTGTTACCATTGCTTGAAACAGTTCGAAAAGTATATATTAGAATTGATAATTGTATGCAACCAAGCATTTAGACAGTTTCAATTCATAATCTAACATGGTTTTAGTGTATGGTTTCATCATAAATTTTGAATGTTTGTAACTTTCAGCAATACAGCATTAACAATTTCAATAATTTAAACAATTGAGACTATTAAAAAAATGTAAACCTTTGAGACTAAAAAAATATAGAATTGTAGTTCTTAGGTAGTCTAATTGAGTTTTCCACACAGAACCCTCAATTTTATGCTGCCATTTCCCAAATTGTGTCCTCCATACTTATTACTTTAGCTTTTGCAACTTTTTTTTTAATAGTGCATTACTTTTTAATCCTGAGATCAACAGCAGCCTTGAACAAACTGAAGGATATGGCATGCAACTTGAGTAATCTTGACCTAATCAATGATATTAAAAATAGAGTACTAGTATTAATAGCAACAGCATTTGTGGGGTGTTGTGGGGTGTATTACCAACGAATTAATTCATATAAATACATGACAAGTAAAAAATCATAAACTTTGAATTAGAGCAAACTCCGTTTTAGGCTGTTTGCTTTTAACATGTTGAAAGCTCTATTTGATCTTTGGATTGTTTCTTCCTCGAATTTAACCGTATCAGTAAAGAAAAAGGAATAAAGCTCTGTGGATATCATTTCCGCCCTAGCCAGCTTTCCTTTCCGTTGACCTTGAGAGGCGCCGCGATGTCGGCGCCGTCTGCATGCTCTCTCAAGCGCAGCACTGTTCAATCGCTGATACGCACCCGCTCGAGCTGCTGCGCAGCTCCTCTGGTGACTAGTTACTTTGCATCACCATTTTCTGTGCGTGTCACCATGTGAGTTTTAGTAACACCTTTTTATGCAATTATCATTTGATAATTGTAAGGCAATCGCCTTCAAAATGCTATGTGTTCTCCCCCAGACCCTAAAGGGCGACTTTGGTAGAAAAGCAAACAGCCTAAAACGGAGTTTGCTCTAATTATTTTCGTTTGAGGAACGAAAACAATCTAATTAGAGCTCGGAGTTTTAGGCTGTGCTGAGGCCACCTCCTCCCCAAACTTTATTACGCGGACAGTGCTGCGATTGAACAGTGCTGCGCTTGAGAGAGCATGCAGACGGCGCCGACATCGCGGCGCCTCTCAAGGTCAACGGAAAGGAAAGCTGGCTAGGGCGGAAATGATATCCACAGAGCTTTATTCCTTTTTCTTTACTGATACGGTTAAATTCGAGGAAGAAACAATCCAAAGATCAAATAGAGCTTTCAACATGTTAAAAGCAAACAGCCTAAAACTCCGAGCTCTAATTAGATTGTTTTCGTTCCTCAAACGAAAATCATATTGTTTTCAATTT